AGCTGCATTTTCACTGTGTTATGCTAACATAGCTGTGTCACTAGCGATCACATGGCACATCATTATATACCAGCTAGTCCAACTTCAGTAACCCTACAAACGTCACTGCTGTTTAGTTTCCTGTCTTCATTTATGTTGGAAGTGATAGCAGAGCTGTACATTTTATTTTTTTCAGAAATCTCTCAGTCAGAACATGCTATATCATGTTTAGGTAAATAGCGAAACTAGCGAGCTAACTTCCGCTAACTTCTAACTCTGTTAAATTTAATAAATTCTGTTTTCATGGATGCCTGGATGTTAAACGTAATTGTTATACCTGGTAAAGCAGCAACGCTGATCATTTTATTGAAGATGAAAGAATTTAGACAGTTTTTAACTCTCAGTGTGCTCCAGTGTTCGTTTGACTTTGGGACCTTAAGCAACGGAGTTTTGGACCCAGAGAACTCCAAGTCCGCTAGGCTTCTGACTACGGTAGCCATAATGCTCTGACAATCCATCAAGTGGTGGGCTTCGTAGCTTACCAAAGTCGTAGTGAAACATTTTTGACAGATCTTTGAGCCACTTAAAATTGGTTCGAGGTCAGTAAGCACAACCACAATTCATACATAAAGCGCACCAGATTATAACACGCACTGACGATTTCTGAGAAAATTAAAGGATTTTAAGTGTGCCTTGTAGTGCGGAAAATACGGTATATGTGTGTGTGTGTGTGTGTGAGAGAGAGAGAATGATAGAGTTTGAGAGAAGCTGAGCTTTATTCAAACTGATTTGCAACAAACTGCAGCAGTGAGGGCAAACTAGTGCACAGTTATGTTTACGTGAGTGTTATTTTGTATATGCATTTGTACAATTAGATAACTGTGAGAGTACATTGATAGCATTTAGCACTAGTAACGGCTATTTGTACCAGTTAGCATGAAAAAGTAGGGGAAGGAACTACATGTAAGCACTGACTGGTACAGTGTGTGTATGAATAAATGCGTCAATTTTAAACAGTAGCCATTTGCATTTTGTTGTGTCAACTCTGTTTCAAGGAGCATTTGTTTAACATCCAGCATTTGTGTGTGTGTGTGTGTGTGTGTGTGTGTGTGTGTGTGTGTGTGTGTGTGTCTAAGAATGTGTGTATCTACCTTTCCTGATTCTATTCCCTCAACCCCTCTCTCACACACACACACACACACACTGGCCTGGTCTCAGTTTGGCTGCTTCCTGTGCTTTCCTGGCCAAGATCTGAATGTAAGCTTGAATCCAAATGAGCGCTTGGTGGCTTCTCACCTCTCTGTAGGGTTGGAAGTGAAAGTAGGAGCTAAAAAATATTGTAAAAGCATATTGCTACATTACGTCATCAGGTGCAAAAGATTTAACCATACAAGTCTGCTAGTCTTTAAAATCAGTTATTTACAGCAGAAAGTGTAACGCTGTAATGTTTTGGTTTCACTGTGGATGCAGTCATGTCATTGCAGCATTGTTCGGGTGAGACCTCTTCTCATGCACTGTTGCTATGGCTCTCATTTATACACACACAGACACACACACACAAATAGATTCACACACACTCGCACCTTTAACTGCTTCTCAATGTTTCATTAAGAGTCCGTTCATAATGGAGATTCTAGATTGCCTCATGTCACTTTATAATGGGATTGTAATTGGATCTTTCTTGAAGGAGAGCTGGTGAGAGAAGTTTTGCACATCAGGGATGACATGAGAAAAAGACGGATTACAATAGTGATGTGTCGGTTGCGAACGAAACGGCTCTTAGAGCCGACTCTTTGAAGTGAACAACGTGAGCCGGCTCCTTATCACGAGCTGTGGGTTTTTTTTTCTTTCTCTCACTATCTCTCTCGCACTTTTTTTCCGCTTCACTCTGCACGCGAGCCTTGTGCTTTGCGCTGGGAAGAGGGGGGAGGGGCGGTAGTTACACTCTCAATAGCACAGGAACCAGTGATGGGTCGTTCGCGAACGAAATGGCTCTTATGGCCGGCTCTTTGACGTGAACAACGCGAGCCGACTCCTTATCGCGAGCCGTCACGTCTTTTTTTTTCTTCTTTCTCTCACCCTCTCTCTCGCACTTTTTTTCCGCTTCACTCCGCACACCAGCCTTGTGCTTTGCGCTGGGAAGAGGGGGGAGGGGCGGTAGTTACACTCAGTAGCACAGGAACAGAGCGGGAGGGAGAGAGAGAGAGAGCCAGGGACAACAATGTCACATTAGAAAGGTATAGTAATCATCCACAACTATTTTCGGTTGCAGATGATAAAGGATTCAGAAAGTTTATTCATTGCAGGTCCATATGACAGAGAATATGCATCTTCTTTTTGTTTTCATATTTTAATTTATATTTAATTGTGTTGTGGTTTGCAGTGTTTTGTGTTGTTTCACTTTAAATTTGTAAAAGGAAACAGCTGAAAATTTAAATAGTTAAAAGTTGAAATGTGAATAGTTGATTTTTGTATTATATGATTTATTTATTACATTTTATGTGGTGTGAATAAATAAAAGTATATTTACGGTGGCCCCTAGAGACAAAGCACATACAAACTCCAAAACACGTACAAAACACAACAGAAGTGCTTCAGGATGCTAGGGGGCAGTGTTGAGCTTTTGTTACCTAGTGGCTACACAAGCCAGGAAGTACCAACAACCGGATTTGGTGTGTGGTGGTAACAGGTAAATGAACATTTTTTTAAATTATTTGAATATATATGAGTGCTTGTGTATAAATACACAAACAATACACATATGCTTTCAATTGTGTAATTTAAGTGATCTAGGTAGCTCTGGTTTGGAAGTTCAGTTAATGCTAGAAATGTGTTTTAGAGTTTGTACATGCTTTGGAATTTGTACGTGATTTTTTGGAGTTTGTACATGCTTTGTTCCTAGGGGCCACTGTATATATTTATATATAAACATATATAAATAAAACCACTTTTTTTTTTACATTAGTAATTCTTTTTGTGCATAATTTTATAGTGTTGTTAATAATAAATTAATTAAAGCAACAAAGCAACCTGAAGAGCCGGTTGTGAGCCGAAAAAGCTGGATCTTTTTAGAGAGCTGAGCCGAAAGAGCCGGTTCTCTAAAAAGAGCCGGAAATCCCATCACTAGATTACAAAGAAAGACAAAATCATGCGGTTGTAATGTTTTGAGTTTGCAGTGAAGAGCTCCCCTTCCCATTAAGATAATGTGATCCAGGATCTCCCTTCTTAAAGGAGCTTTAGCCTTTCTAAAATATCCATGTTGTAATTGAGGTCAAGTCTTGAGCTTTGAAAAACAAACAGCTATTGCAGTGTGGACTTTTCTGGGATTTAGCTCGGACCACGTCCTCATTTTAGGTAATGGCAGATGGCTTGAACATGAATTGAGGCTGCGGTTTGGGGATGACCTCAGAGGGGACTGGCAGCGGCTCCCTGGCCAGGCATATCCCCGTATACTAATGAGAAGTGAATGAATTCTAAAAGCATTTGAAACGACCCAAGACTTTAGTGACTGAAAAATAAGGTTTAGCCAGACCTGTACCATGTGCTCTTGTGAGTCACAGATTAAACTTTTTTAATTCAGTAGAGCCTCAGCAGGCACAAGAACTTAGGCACCTGCAGCAAATAATGATCAAATAAATAGTGAAATAGTGAATAAAATAAAAGTTGTTCTCTTTCAAAAACAAAGCTTGAACAAAACAAAGATAAATGAAATGTGTCCATCAAGGCACTTTTCTTTAAATGTGCCTAAGTGACTCTACCACTGTGTATTGTAACATAACATCCTGCAAAGCAGGAAGACTGGTCTCAGTGTGTAAAATGAATGACGTACTGCCAGTTTTGTAGTAGTTTATGCCTGATCACGTTGTTCAGTGTAGAATCAAAAAGACGGGATCTGTACAAAAAACAGAGCTCCATCAAACTAGCTTAGCATTTCTGTTCAAATTCAATATAATCCTGCTGTATATTCCAGAAGATAAAGAACTCAGATACTGTGGTTTCTGCCTGTGGCAATGAGCTGGTCCAGAGGAGTTCCCTGAGGCCTTTTCAAATCTCTAGAACCTCCGTCTGCCCTGATGTGCCCCACATTGTAATCACAGCTGCATTGCCTGAAACACAGAGAAAAGCTTCTTGCAGTCATTTTAACATTACGCAACACTGGCCAACATCTGCTGGCTCATTTATTGTGCCACGGAGACAGTTTCCCTGTGAAATCACCTTAAAACTAGAAAGCACTGTGACCACCATCCATTCTGTGTCTCGTGCCACTTGTTAATTACCCATTGTGTGGTACCTGCCTGTGGGTATGGGCTAGCTTGACAAGCTAACAGAGAAGCTTAATTGGAGCTGACAAGCAGATACTTTGGTCTGTGGTCGCTGCTCACACTTCTGAAATGTTGCACGTCCAGTGCTTATTAGCAACACTACTTCAGTAAGCTTAATGAAACAAATTCTTCATCTGTAAACGAGGCACTGAAAGAGAACATAAAATATATGAAGTGCTTTCTTAGCTGTCTCCTGCTCTAGGGCGAGGTAGAGAGATGGAAGCATTTCTCTACATGTCTGACAGAGAAGCACAGGAGCTCTGGCAGAGTTTGCTTCTACATGCGGGCATGACTGTGTCCCAAACTAAGTGACAGATTGCGTGGTGTCATGGCATGACATTTCAGCATCAGCCTGAAGGAAAAATGTCAATACCGCGTAAAATGATACACACACTTTTTAAAGCAGAAGAAGTGCATGTTAGTGCAGCCTGACAGGCGGATTTATTGTATGAGATCCAAATTCTCAGCAAGTGGGTTAGGGACATTCACCGTAATGCAGTCTGTCATTGTGATCGGTCATCATTTTGTTCCCCCTACTGAGACATTTCAGTGAAATCCAATGAAAAACTGTATGTCAGCCATCCTCATCACTTTTTATGTTGTGTGTGTTTGTAGCTTTTGTGTAAATGGGTGACAGGTGCTTGTTGTAAAAGTATGTCCAGGGATCTGAGTAAATCATGTAAAAATGTATGTGTGCAGGAGAAGACCCTGAGACAAGACGTATGAGGACAGTAAAGAACATCGCTGACCTGCGGCAGAACCTAGAAGAGACCATGTCCAGTCTACGGGGGACACAGATCAGCCACAGGTAGGCGTGCAGAGCTCTTTACTTTGAACGCTTAATGGATGACCCTAATCTGAAGATGCAACAACACAACAGTTTCTGGTTTTTATCCAGATTATTTATTTTGTATAGCACCTTTCAAGATAAAAACCACGAAGTAAACACACTAAAAATAAAATGGGGGCCAAGAACAGAACCCTGTGGTTTACCATGTGAACCAACAGAACCAACTTGAACCAGTCATGTGTTTTACCAGATACGCCTACCCAGTGCTTTAGCCCCAGTTGTATCAATACTTCCACAACCCAAATATAGAACATGCTCCCTTCGCAGAGCCATATATATCATCACATCATCATGGCCACTAAAAATAAATATATAAAAACTAATTTTTTTTTTAAAAGTTGTAAAAGCACAGAGAGGAGGTACAACACCTGGTAGACTGGTGTCAGAATAACAACCTGTCTCTCAATGGCCCACACCCCTCTGCACATCAACGGATCTGCTGTTGAGATGGTCAACAGTGTGAAGTTCCTGGGTCAGCCGATCTCTCCTGGAACCTGAACACCACCACCATCATGAAGAAAGCCCAACAACATCTTCACTTTCTTAGGAAACCAAAGAAGGCCAGTCTCCCTCCTCCTATCCTCACATCATTTTACTGGGGAACCATTGAGAGCGTCCTCTGCTGCTACATCACTGTGTGGTACGGGAACTGAACCCTCGCTGAAAACAAGTGTCTGCAGCGCATAGTGAGGACAGAAGAGAGGATCATTGGAGGCCCTCTCACATCCACCTCCCAACTCTATGACAGACACATCATCCGACGTGCGAACAGCATAGTGAAGGACACTCTCCACCCCTCACATGCACTGTTCTCCCCCCTTCTATCTGGCAGACGGTTTCACAGCATCAAAACCGTGACGACCAGACACTGGAAGAGCTTCTTCCCCCAAGCAGTCAGAGCCCTCAACTCACTACCATAAAAGGACTGATATACACATACGCCTTTACAAACACCTTACAATACTCATCAAAAGACTCAAAAACAACAAAAACTTCCACAAATCCACTACAAACTGGACCTGGGAACAGCATGCTTATTTGCACACTCAGTCACATAGTTCTGAACACATCTAAATTATATTATATTTGCACATTTTGCATTTTGCACATGTCTTTGTCATGTCTCATCAATGATATCCCGACAATAACTTGAAACTGGTATTAAATACTAGAGATGGCACGATACCACTTTTTTATGTCCGATACGATATCATAAATTTGGATATCTGCCGATACCGATATGAATCCGATATAGCGTGTTTTTTAATCAATAAACTTTTTTAATATCTTGCTGCTTTTTGTATAAGTTCAAACTCAAGTTAAAAAACAAACACTAAAGCTATTCTGTTATACCTGTATGCAAAAAATACACTGCACCCAAAATATTTAATAGTTCAGCAACACTTATCAATCTAATAAACTTAAACCTACTCCATCCTCCCTATTCTGGTATTTTAAAGAGTAAGCAACCTAACTAATAGGGTTCTAAAACTCCCAGCAAAAAAACCCCAAAAATAGGGAAACACCCACCACCCTCCACCTCATGATGCTTAATCGACGTAATCAACTTTAATTTGATGCAGTATGAGAAAAAATGCACAGAAATCAATTAATTTTGAAGAATAATTAAATAGATTCAACATCTTTCTCTTGATAAACAAACAAGAGAGACGGACTCACGACAGAAAAGCCGATCAGCTGATCATTGATCAGTTTCATGATTGAAGTAGCAGCAGGAGAGGGAGAGAGAGAGAGGCAGTCGCTCCATATATCGGTTGTTAAGCTTAACGCAGGAATGCTTTACAAACATTCAGAGATGAACTTACACACTTGCTTTACTTCTCTCTGGGATAACTTCCTCGGAGATGAAATGCCGGATTGCTAGCGAGGCTACAAATACACACAGCCGCTCTATCACGTGACGCATACTGCTCCAACGTGCTACAGTTATGAGCCGAGTTACGCCGTGTCGCAAGTTTTTTGATATTTAATGGATCAGATTACATTTTTTATTTCCCTTTATTTACGTCAGTATCGGACCGATACCGATACGTAATGTCAGATCGGTCCATCTCTATTCAATACCTACTGCACATTCCACTTTGTATTGTCTCTGTCCTGTCTGTGTTTATCATACAGTTAATATTGTATAGTTACAATTATAGTATTGTATAGAATTGTATAGTTAGTAATTAGTACCTTTTTATCCCTTAATTTTACCGAAACTTAGCATGTTATTTATATGTAATTCCTAGTTTTATATCTCTTGGAGATATATCCTTTATATATTTATAAATACACCATGGGGGGCATTTCGGTACACTGTATATTGTGTATACTACTGTATTGACAATAAAGCTCTTGAATCTTGAATCTTGAGATTACCCAAGTGAGTTTGTACATCACTCGTCCTTAGCAAATAAACAGATCTGATTGGACTGACTCACTCTGTACAATTTATCAGGGAGATATGTCCCCAACTATTAATGATACTCACTCTGTAAGCATGCCATCTTCTCCTCCACCTATCCTGGATTTAATTAAAAGCAGGCGCCACCTTCCTCACCAGCTGGCACACATGTAATGGCATTCAGGAGTTGATGGACAACCAACACCTTAAAAAGCTGTCCTACCTGGGAGCCGTAGGCACCGTAGAGAATCTAGTGAAAAGATTGCGGCACAGGCAAAGACAAAACGATCTATTGGTTTATATCAGCTCCCTGGGCGAAATGTTCCCTCCTCGCTTCTCTCCTTCACCCTTAGTCTATTATTTTGTGTGTTTTGCCCCATTTACAGAGGAAGATGGTGGCCGGGCTGTCGACAGCCATGACAGATGGCAGTCTGTGTGTGTGTGCATGCTTTTGTGTTTTTTTCTACTCCTTTATTCCTCAGAGGAGTCTCAGCCAGGCACAATCAATACAGCGGCATTGTCTTCCCACCACATTTAATCCAATGGGACCCACAGGTTTGGGGTGTGAGGTGTCTGATTGGTCAAAGGAGGCAAGACTCATTTTCATGCATCAGACGCACAAGGCCAGTCAGCGTGAAGTATTTGAAAAATGCATCATCATACCGCCGCATTAGCATTGTGTATGGTGTATATGTGTATGTGAGTTGAAGCAGTGAAACAGTGTAAAACAGTAGGTACTGGTGGCAGCAGTATGGATAAATGGTAAATGGTAAATGGCCTGTATTTATATAGCGCTTTACTAGTCCCTAAGGACCCCAAAGCGCTTTACATATCCAGTCATCCACCCATTCACGCACACATTCACACACTGGTGATGGCAAGCTACATTGTAGCGACAGCCACCCTGGGGCGCACTGACAGAGGCGAGGCTGCCGGACACTGGCGCCACCGGGCCCTCTGACCACCACCAGT